AATGCCAATCTTGCAGTAAGAAACACCAAAGTATTTTTTCTAGAAAGAAAAAAGTTCTCACTCACATGCAGATACACACTAATCCAGTACAGTTACAGCTTTAAACACTTCATGCCCTTGATGAATGAATCTCCTATCATTACAGTGACAGACTCACCATCATCTGTAATAGTACCACTGCTGGATCCGTTGCTCTTGGCCTGTCTGTGAGAAGAGAGAGAGGACTCTGCGTTGTGAACCTTAGGAGATGGGGAGGGTGATGGGGAAGGTGTGAGAGTTGGTGATGTGCTTTTAGATGTAGATGAAGTCCCAGATGCAGGTCTTTTGTTCATCTCCAGTTTTTGCTGTAATTAATGATACAATCATTTCAGTTGAAAAAAAAAAAATAAGTTATATACGCTTCAATATTACTTAAATTTCACATAATATCTACAGAGCATATAATCACAATCAGAAGCTTCTGCTTGATACATATTGAAATAATTGGAGCAATACTGATTTATCCCAGGTGAGTGTCCCCCCTCAAATTCATCAAGAAAAGTATATTTATTAAGGCTGTAATTCTGATATAAGAAAATGATTTTTTATAAAGCAATACTATATACAAACACAATTATTTTTTTTATAAGAGCTGAAATTACTTTGACTTTGAAAACAAGTCTTTTTCATTCAGAGATACAATTAAATAAATAAAGCCTCGATTAAAGCTTTTCAATGTACATCAAATGCTAATTTAAAGTAGTACTTCAGCTGGATTAACCAGCAATATGTAGCAAGCATAAACTACTTGGTGCATTTAAATCCCTTGCTGCACTGGAATGAAAGTTTCCAGTCAAACCTTAAGCTTGACTTGAATCAAATGATTCAAATTTATTAAATATTCTGCAAACATTTAATACATTTGGAGACATAGAAAATACATGAATTAAAGTGAGGAATAAGAATATATATATGTTTCTATATCAGTCTTCTCCAAAACAAGTTAATGTCCTGCACCTCTTAAATTCCTTGATCTATGTATCACTTCACAAATTTCAAAGTTGGCATTATATGACCTAAAAAGAAGTGTTAGGTGATTTTCTCCTGGATTCCTATAACTTAAAGTATCTTTGGTCAGTCAGGCTGCTACAAGAAAAACATAAGAAAAAGTTGAGCTGGGTAACAAGGCAAGAAGGGAGAAAGGCAGTGATTCCTGCCTCTGTACAATTTTGCCTCTGTGCTATAGCATAAATAGAACTTTTCTAGATACGAGATGCACATTAAAAGATAAAACTGATTTGAGTGGTAACATGCTTCCATTACTCTATCCTATGCCAGAATGTACTACTTCCTTAGCCCTGCATTAAATTGACTAGAAGCAATGTAGCATGATACAAATTTGAGAGGTCTCTGAAGAGCACTGTGAACTCATTTCAATTTTTTGCCCCAAATATCCCTGTATTCTCTTATTGACCATTTGTGATTGAGAACGGTCTTCCCTCTCAAGTGCACTGTCTGCACTTACTTAAACTACATCACCCTGTGAACTGTTATTCAGTTTTCCTTTCTTTAAGGCTTCTACAATCCCATCTCTCACAGGTAACTTCTGCAGAACTGATTAGTGTAAATATTGCTGCATTTTTAGATAAGCTATTTCCAAGTTCAGACAACATGATCCTAATGGGAGGGCACAAGCACTTCTACAATGGATATTAAATTTTCAGCATTTATACTGTTGATTACAAAGTAGTCTGTTTAAGCTTTTGCAACCAGAGTAGATTCATGCATGATTCTGTACTCCCAACAGCCACCAAGTCCCAAATATCACCTCAGATGTGATACACTAATTACGTGTTTTGTTATTAGTGGATAGACTGAAATTCAGCTACATATCTAAGGAAAGAGCACTGAAAGAGCAGTTGTCCTTCCAACATACTGGCATAATTTTATTTAAAAATCTTTTCAGCAGTATGATGAACTCACTTCCCAGACGATGATCTGTATCTTGAGGGGAATTCCACCTCATTACTATTCTTTATCCCCTAATGTCTTCCACTGTGAGTGGGAATAATAGGGAAACTTCTTAGTGGCAGTAACAACAGGCCCCAACAGCTGCAGCCCAAAGCTCAGTGGCACAGGTATTGAAAAAGCATTTGGTAACTGTTCAGTAGAGGAGCCTTTAATGAGGAAAAAGGATAAATAAAGTGGTTTTGTCTACAGAAAGAAAGAAACAGATCATTTATAGCCCCAGGAGCAGCTATATGGGATAGAAAGGGAGGAAAGATTATCATGTGCCAAAGTATCAGTATGAGTCCATAGCTTTTGGGCAGAGTAAAAAATTTTAGCTCCCAATCTCATCTTTGAAAAGCAACCATTAGTCCCTTCAGAATCAGGACTGATAGGTTAGAGACCAAAATGACTATTCATGGAAACTGTTTTGGCATTGGTAATTGCACACTTCTTCTGATTTTTGTCTTCCAGAAATTTCAATTAAATCACTGGACAACTTTGTAACTTAATTTATCATTGATATTTAATGATTAAATATACATATTGCTTACTGTTGTCATAGAAGACACCACAGAAAGAGATGTCTTATACGCACATGTACTAATCCTATATTCTGGCCTTTTTTTATTTCTCTGGGCAAAACTTCAAGAAGAATCTCAATAAAGGATGCAAAGAAAATGAAACAAAGCAAAACAAGCTGTTTGGAGATTACGCAATCAAAAAGCTGAGAAAGTTCGCTCTTGGTCATGTATTCTAACACTGTCAGAATTAGAAGTAAAAACCCAAATTATGTTCTTTCTTTCTCTTGCTCTCTGAAACGTACTGCTAACCCTGTGTGAATAATCTCATACATTTCACAACAGTGTATCATATCTTCCCTGATGATGTTGCTTTCTAACTTGTGTCTGGAAATTTTAAAGATTTAAAATCTTAATCCTTAAAAATTTTGTACAAAGCAGTTGTTAACTGCAAAGAACATGCACTAAAATGGGCAGGTCATGAGGGTAATGCTATTCCAGAAAATTCATAGGCAAGTCAGCACAGATAATACAGCTTGTACTCAGGAGCAAAACCTGACCGTGATGACAACTTAACATCCATGCTGTTTAAAAATAACACCTTCTGGAGCAGACTGGATACACCCATACTGTTGTGGCTGTCAGATCCTGGTACAAATTATCTGAGTGTTGGGCACTCAGGTTGTGCCTTTGGAGGGAAACTATCTGTACCACTTCAAAGTAAAGCCCAGGAATAAAGAATATAGAACACAGGACTCAATCAGGACCATAGAAAGAAATAATGGTAAATCAAAATAACAGGATGTATGTACCCAAAGTTTTATATTTGCTGTTTGTTTTTTTTTTGAAAGAGAGTGAAATTAATAATAAAGCAAAATCCTATTTTATTATTAGGTCTAATCTTTTGCTGATTTGTAATTAAAAGGAAGGTTTGCGGAGCTGAAAAGTTGTGTAACAGGTGTTCATTCATTTCAGGCTGTGTGAGGTCTTGCAGTTACATTTATCAACCATCTATGACTGAGGCATGATGTATTGAAATTAGCCAATTTGGAAGCACAAAAATTTACATTTTTCTGTACCTTTACAACATGCCCATTGCCAACAATTTGAGCGCATTGCAAATCAGGCAGAGTGGATGAAGGAGTTGTCTGGACTGGACTATTCTGTTGGTTGGGTTTCTGTTCAGGTAAGCCTGCTGCTTTTCTTCTTTGGGCTGCAATCTGAGACAAAACATTATCTGCACTGCCACCTGAATGAAAAAAAAAAAACAAAAAACAAACAAACAAACAAAACAAACAAAAAAAAAAAAAAAAACCAAAAAAACACAAATAAGAACAGAGTCAAGGAAACCATAATTTTAATATGATTGTGAATTCTCAATTCACTTCTCTCCACTACTCACTTCCTTTTAAAAACTGACTGGATGAAAAAAGAGAGAGAGAATTGTAAGGTTTAGACCTGTTCAGCAGCTTTCAGGAAACAGAACAAAAATCAGTCACAGGAGAAGAGATAAGCCAGCCTTTTCTATATACACACAGAAAGTTGACTTTCATACTTTGGGATACACGTTCACCATACTGTCTTTACAGCTGCTGGATACAATGCTCACAGCTTTGATTTTAATTAAAAACTGATTTTTTAAAAAAAAACAAAAAGCAAGCAACGGGGGTAAGAGACAGTTCTATGAAATACATGTTGCCATGATCCACCATCCACCTCATCCGTCCTGGGTGGACTCAATAAAATCAAAATATTTTTCTTTAAGACAGGGGCTAACCTACAAGACTTCTGCAACAGATGTGAGGCTTTTCTTCCCTTAGGTAGGTGTACAAAGTCCAATCCAACAAAAACTTACAGCAGTTTTGTTTATGTGGCAGTAGGAGCCCTCATCATCACAAATGGTAGTTTTTTAGCTGGACCAGATACAGACGACTTCTTATTAAAAATGGTACCTGATCTGTTTTGCAGTTCGCCTCCATGCCTGTTAATCCCTGCAATGTTGTTGGATCCACCAGAAGAATGGGGAGAATGGTTGAAGTTGTTAGAATTTGAAGGAGATGCAGGTCTTCTTGCAAATGTTGGTAATTTGACTGGTCTAGTACCTTTGCTAACAGATGTCTGGAAAACATAAAGAAAAATAATTTTCATCTGTCTTGATTGAGCAAAAGAACAACAGGAATATCAGAAATAGTCTTATTCCACTTATAAAAATACACTGAATATACAGTTATAAAAATCACAGAATTACAGAATCACAGAATGGTTTAGGTTGGAAGGGACCTTAAAGATCATCTGATTCCAGCCCCCCTGCCATGGACAGGGACACCTCCCACTAGACCAGGTTGTTCAAAGCCCCATCCAATCCTTCAACACTTCAGGGATGGAGCAGCCACAGCTCATCTGGGCAACCTGTTCTAGTGTCTCACTACCCTCACAGTACCTTATTCCACACCTAAATCACCTCAACTGGTATTAAGCTAACTTTCACTCAAAAAGGGAAGACAGAAAAAATCTGCCTAAAATATTTTCATTGTCCCATTTCTAGAACTGACATGAACTACAGTTCTGGACTAGTAAAATAAATTCTTCTCTACACTTGACTATTGGAGTCTAAATTCAGAGGAGCAAGCACTTCTCCTTTCTCTTCTACTAATTATGAAAGCAAAGGTGGTCGAGTTTGGTTTGCTTCCTGTCTCAAGACAAACAAGCCATTTTCTTTTTGTTTTGTGTTTTCACTAAAAACACTGAAGAATCAGACAAGCTCCCTCTATAAAAAATAGGATCTATTCAGACTTCTTCCCTTTTTACAGTACTTAAGCTTTAAGGCAGTATGCCTTCAAGCCCACTTGATCACTAACTGCTACAATTTTATCTATTATTAAGCTTTCAGAATGTTATGTCTGTATATTTGTGCCTCACTGGTATTTCTTCTCTCTCCCTCACTTGCTAAAAAAATGAGAAACTTTATTGTTTTCTTCTGTCCCTAGTGTTTTCCCAAATCAGAGCAGTTTCCATCATACTCCAATGACTGTATCTACTTTGGCAACTAAAATACAGAGGTGGAACCAGCAGCCACTTCAGCAGTTTGCATTAAGGCTTGACTTTGGTTAACAACAAATAAGTAATTTCATTTCATGCAGTACTTTTGTTCCATTTATTTTCCTTCCCCAGAGATGTGTATTCTTCCTATACAGCAGAACATAAAGGACAAGCCATTACTGAGACAGCAGGTTTAAAGTAATTTCTAATCAGAAACACAGTGTGGCTCACCAGTCAGCGTGGCTTGGACATAACACAGTATGTTTGTACGTATTTTGTTTGCTTACTATATCAGAGTTCCCACTGCTGTTAAAATCATGCTTGATCGCTCTCTGTGGCCAGGCAGTTCTCATCTGTTCAGCTTTGCCATCTTTGCTGAGTCGTGTTCGGTCAGAATTCCAAAGCTCAAAACTTGAGGGTGGTAAGAAAGGTGGTATCACTGCTTTCAGTTTATCGCTGGGCAGTCTGGTAAAAGGAGCACTACTTCTCAACTGAGAGAGGGACACAAAGAAAGGGAAAACAAAAAGAGCCTCTGAAGAAAGATTACTGGGAGCTTACGATGTAGCTTCAGAATTGTAGGTTAAATAAAAAGATGGAGATGCATTTTTAAACAAAGTAAAATGGAACTGAGACACAGAAGTAATATTTGTAAAGATCTACAACACATAACAGAATCCAATGGACATTCCAGCATCCATAAGTATGCTCATTAAGTGGCAGAAACTGTCTATTCCTTCATTGGGCTGAATATTGCTTCAAACTGATTTTAACAGGAATGTTAACAATTAATTTCCAAAGAAATAACAAGGTGGTCCTCTCTATTCCCAGACAGAACACATACAGCAGGAACAGGCAGGATGGTGAAAGAGTGAATAGCTGCCTGTTCCTGCTGTATGTGTTCTCCAGAAAGAGAAATAAACAAGTGATTTGGCTCCCTGGAGTTCTGTCAGTCACACCAAAAGTTGATCAATCTTCTTAAAAAAGAATGTAAAGGATAACTAGCCAAATTTAATGACATCTCCAGGGACTAAGCCATGGGGGAATTTAAAGCTACAGCATAACAGAAGAAGAAATAGAATAATAGAAATAAACATCCCTAACATTTCATGGTTGCCTCTACTAATGATTTTTCACTTTTACACTGGTACCATGTTCCTCACAACATACTTCATGTCAGCAACTAACAAGATGTTCCACCTATTTTACTAATTTGTTGCTGATCATACAAAGGTATGGGTAACTTTTTAAATAAGTCAGTATTTGTGAACAGCTTCCATACCATACTTGTAACACTTCCTAGTCTAAGGACTACTGATATATCACAGCCTGTCAGCTTCTGCCTAGCGACAATAAACAAATGATAGCTCTCTTTCTTATGGTGACTTGGATATGAGATTAAAAACAAAAAATTGAGATGATGGGAGCTGCATGACCTCCTGAATTGAGCTGAACACCCAAGAACACTGTGACATACCATCGTTGTCAATAATTCATCATCCTTTCCTCCTTTTGCAGTGTTTACACCTGAAAAATACATAAATGATGTTTTATTGTTCACATGCTTACTTTTGTTCTCAAGGATAACTTACTCTTTTCAAACATTCAACAGCTTTACCCTCAGGAAGCACACAGAAACATGATTTCCAGTAACATTGTCGTGTACCTAAATTAAAGTTAAGCCAATAGTCTTATTTCCCATCACAGTCTGTGGGGGTTTTGCATGGAGACGTCTACAATTTCAGTAGATGTGTTTTATAGTTTTGGCTTTTCCAATCTTTCTTTTTTCTGAGAATTATTTATTTGTTTAAATAAATTGGTTTTCACTACATAAATTAGTTTATCAAAGATACTAACAGATTTTGAGCAACTGTCTAATTTAATATTGCTTGCTACAGAACAGTAACATGTTTATATTAGCATTTGCCTGCTTAAATGATGCTATGTGCAGCATTTAGCATGACCAACAATCAGGAGTACAAACATCTCTATATATATACTACAGATATATTACACGTCTTTTCAGTTATATTAAGCTAAATAAAAACAAAATCAATAAATTAGAAACAGTATCATCTTAGCTAGCCCTTGAGAGCTTGTGTCTCACAAGACAATTCTGGCTTTACCACTTGTTTTGTTATTTGTGATCCGAGCTGCAGCACCATCAAGGTTTCCAGAGGTGTCTGTGTCACTCTGTGAAACTGCTTTTATGGTGGAATTTAATGATGGTTCAGGCTCATCAGGAAAAGGCACAAACTGATTGGAAGGAAATCCATGGCGCAATGTCGGAGTGAACTTCAGCCTGCGGAATCGATTGGACATCCTGCTCCACCAGGACTAGATTGATAAGAAGACACAACAATTTAGTTCCAACTAAAAGAAAAAAAGAGGAAAAGAAATGCACAATTAAGTAATCCTTACAGCAGTGATAAATCTGTCAAGACATTTTTGCTATCAACTACAAAAGCAATGTTAAAGTGGTTTGCAATTATCAACAGAATCCTTCACTATATTTTCTATGTGCAATATTAATGTTTTTCCTTAATTTTTTGTCTGGCAAATGCCTTACAATGTTTTTCCCCACTATCTGGAAAGACAAGGTAAATAAAAATTTTAGGAGAATTTGAGTAGGAAATCTTTGCAACTACATTGCAAATATTTAATTTTCCCATTATATTCCAATTTCACCATATGTTCTTACACACTCCCTGGTGTCAAGGAACTGGCATGTGTATTTTTGGCTTTTCAGAGGTGTGCATAGAAGCTTATCTGATCTGCATGAAGCTTCTCCTTAAGATTCTCCAAATCAGTGGCAAACTGGAAGAGTTCTGATAAACTACAGATCCACAGTCCATACAGTGCTGCTATACAGACAGCTTAAACTCTGCCAGACTGGAAAGGCTGTAAACTGAAAAGGAGCAAGGCAAGTATCAGCTGTGATAAGCACTTACTGCATCTACAACCAGCGACCATACAGGTATCACGTATGTGAAAACTATTACACAAAAGGATCATCTTTTCTCAAAAGAAAATTTATCAAAGTATTCACAGAGCTATACATTTTTAAAAGCAGACAGTGCAAGATGCTCCAAATATTTAACAGGACATTTCTCTAGAATATGAGATCTATAGGCTATATTAAGAAGACTTATGCAATCTGTATTAAAGATTACATGGCTTATAGACAAATCAGTCAGATCATAAATATCTTCTGTATAAAGCTGCTCTTCCCTTCCCAGAACACTTTGTAAAAATAATAACAGAGTTGTGTAAAAGTGATGATACTTCTTCAAGGCAGCATTATGGGATATCCAATCCAGACAATATACACTCCTGGTCTACTCTTTATTCTTGGCCATTCCTTCTCAACATACACATTGCCCTCTCTCCTTGGCATTTAACATTTTTCAACTGCTTACTGATATGTCTTCCCAACTGTCTTACAGCAGAAGCAATATAAACTCTAAACTTACTCCTTGTAAATCAATCCTTCCAGCAGATAATTATTAAAAAGATTTTAACCCTGCATGGAACATTAGTAATGGACAGACTTCTCAGACCTTTGTATCTCTTTGGAGCCATAACTAAAAGATTTAATGTAAATCTTTCAATAACAAAGAACTGATGGAAAAAGGCAAAAGAGACAACTCCAAGAAAGCAATAAAACCCACACCATCCAGCATTTATTCACCTTCTAAAAGGAATTGAAAGGACAAAAAAATCCATTTAGTTTTAATACAGAGTACAGTGAGCTTACAAAACAAATTGCTTGCACAACATAGTTTGGTTTTGTTCCCTGAAGCTAGCCTGCTTCTGTAACAAAGATCACTTTTGAGTTCCTGTTATCTTTGTTACTCTTCTTCACAGTGCTTCTGCTTCATTAACATATGCTCACACCACAGACTAACCCAAAGTGGACGAAGTACAGACACTATGTTACCATATAAAAACAGTACTGCTCTGTGGCAAAAAACGAATGATAATGGGGAGGTTCATGTTGTACTCTGGTGTTCAAGAGTACGGTAGTCTGAGTCCTGGAGTTTCCAGTTTGCTACTGCAGAAAGTTGTGGCCTCCCCATATAAGCTACCACATCACACAGACAGAAGCTAGAATAAAACGGCTTTAAACTAGACTGAAGCAGCCAAGTAACAAAAATGCATCTTTGGGTAAAAATACTGTCTGTCAAAAGGCTGAAATCTAGTAGCAGTGGGAGAAGGCAACAGTATTAAAGAACAGAAAAATGGTGTTGCCACTTGAGAAATATCTTAGACATTTATAACAATGTTAGGAATGAAAGACTAAGGGGAAGAACTGGAAATCTCTGCCCCCAAACGACTTTAATCTAACCAAGAAACTGAACGTGATAATTCACACTGCTCTAATACTGACATTGACAATATAGCTTACCGAAGAAACACAGGAAGGAAAAGAAAAGAAACAAAATTTTTGCATATGGAAAAGATACAACTTTGTTTTCAAGTCCAGAAAATGATGAGAAACAGAGCCATTAACAGTTCCCTTGTGAAAGGGGTAAAGAGTACAATCCTGGTTATCCACTACAGAATCAGTAGGTAAAAGAGCAAGGTCCTGTATTATGCATAAATTGCAAATAGAAGCAGCACACAACAGAAGTCTACTAGTTAATGACGCAAGTGATCAAAAAGGAGACACAGAAAAGAGAGGGGTTTTTATAACTTCAAAAGCAGCTTACTTGTCAGTAGATATTTCTGTATGAATACCATTAACAGGAAGAAGGTAGGAATATATATGGATTTGACAACAGAGTAAGAATATTTAAATCAGCTTACACGAATTAGAACCTGACAAGACTGATTAAAATTACCTTAGAGTAATCATAGACAATACCATCTCAGAACAAAAATTGATTATCTTCAAAATAAGTTATGATGATGGCAGAAGTTACAGAAATCAGGCAAAAAGCAAATACATAATCACCCTTATCTCCAAAAGGGGAAAACCTGAAGATGTACTGATCAAAATGCTTGACTTGAAAGGACATAACTAAAGAAACTTAATACGTCATCACAGCCTGTAAGAGAGAGCTGGCACTGGTTTGTTTGGAATAAATCGCACCAAATCAATCTCCCTCTGACAGAGTAACTGGTCAAGTGGGCGGAAGGGAGGAAAAGCTGTAACATAGCCTGACTTTCAATAAAGTTTTTATCACTATTTCATGTCACATCCAAACAACTGAGGAAAACATGGTTCAAGTAAAATTAATATAGGGAAAGCACCATAGCAAAAAAAAAAAAAACACCCTAACATATTAAGAGACAAATTAACAAGAATCGGACCTCAAATTGGGAGGACGGACTTTGCGGAAGACCTCTGTCTGGACAGTTTCGTAAGCACCTTAGATACTCTAATTTAAGTACTAACAAATTGACATTATTCAGTAGGGGTCAAGCTGACATTTTAGAAAAAGAAATCAAGTGTACAAATATAGAAAAGGAAGTAAGCAGCAAAGCAGCTGTAGAGAATTAAAAAAAGACAGAGTTGTAACATACCACAAACTACGTATAGATGCAGTGTCTCACTGCTGCAAAAAAGGTGAATTTTACTGGTAACTGCATAAAATTCACAACTATGCAAGTAGTTTATGTACACTGCTATGTTATACTGAGACCCTAGTTGGAATCCCGAGGCAAGATAAACAAGAAATAGTAGAAAACTTATGAAAAATAACCTGCAAACAAGGAAATTTGAATTATTTTTGTTTAGTCTGGAGGAAAAAAAAAAAAAAGATTGAAGAGACTATGGACTATGGTAATTCTTTATTTATATAGTTCTTACAAAATTGAAGGTGGTCACTGAAAAAGAATCAATCAACTTAATAAGCAGCAAGGGACATATAGATTAGATCAGGGGAAAAAAAAATCTGACCACAGAAAACAAGAAGCAGTGGAACTGGGTACTAGTGGAGATAATGGGACCAAGGGATCTTCTTTACCACAGAGAAGGAAGAGAGAACAGAAACTTCCATCAAGGACGTTCTTGGCATGTTGATCCTGTCTCCCCACGTAAAGCCAGGTGAGTCTCTCGAGTTCCCTCTCATTTTTGCATTTCCATGATTCTGCAGACCACATATTCAGTAATTTGTACTGATCTGGATAGAAAAATTTATGTACAGGCTGAGTCACCCTAATCATCTCTGGTTTACAGTCTTAGAGTCATAGAATAGTTAGGG